ACTTTCAATAGCAAGTTCAGCTGATGGTTTCAAGAAAAGCAGTTTTGAACTGGTAAGGATATTTCCTTGAAACTTAAAGCCTAGAAACAGGTTAGTATTCTGTTCAAATAGTAGGTACATGAACCTACTGACAGCTCAAGACAGGACAAAAATCCTTAAAACTGGACAACAAAGCTTAGAAGAAAAGCAGCAATATTTTAGTCAAGTCACAGAATGCTGTTTCATCAGTTCAGTCTCATGTACTGAATCTTTCTTCTGTTTCTGTTGAGGTTCGATCTTCCAGATTGGATTCTGGGATATAAAACTCAACTCCAGACTTTGTCCCTACAATTAAGTTGCCCATTTTCTTAGTTTCTGAACTCTTATTTCTGTGTGTCTGCATTTTATTTTACTGACATAGCACTCCCTTAAGAACTTCTTGGAGATCTAGTCTGTTGCTGGTAAATTCTTTCAGGTTTCTTTTATCTAGGAATGTTCTTCCCAAATGAACAACAATCTTGCTGAGTACAGAATTCCCTGCTGAAATTGCCTTTCCCTTAACACTTTGAATACATTTTCCCATTCTTTCCTCACTCGCATTGTTTCCGTGAGAGGTCTGCCGTTAGTTTGATGGGATACCCTTTGTAGGTAACTTGCCGTTTTTCTCTTGCCCGTCTTAGTATCTTGTCTTTGTCTGTGGTTTTGGTCAATCTGGCTATAATGTGTCTTGGAGAAGATCTTCTAGGGTTGATTCTATTTGGGGTCCTCTGTACTTCTTGGGGCTCTCCAGGTTTGGAAAGTTTTCTTGCAAGATTTCATGGAATAGATTATCAATGCCCTTATGAGTTTCTTCACCTTCTGGGATGCCTATTATCCAGATGTTCGGACGTTTAATTGTATCTAGTATTTCTCGTATATTATTCTCAAATTCCTGGGCCATTTTCTCAGTCTTCGTGGTAGATTTTTCTAGGCCAGCAATTTTCTCTTCTACACCTGAGATTCTATTTTCTGTATGATCTAGTCTGCTTTTAATATTTTCAAGGGAAATTTTGACTTGTATTATAGCCTTCATCTCTAACAGTTCCATCTGATTCTTTTGTAAAGTGTGAAATTCCTCTTTTAGATCTTGCATGAATCTCCTCACCTCCTGGAACTCTTCAACTCCTTTCTCCTTCCTCTTCAGCAGTTCCTTGTCTCTCTTCTCTTCCAACTCTGTAAGCTTTGCCATTATGAATGTTCTGAATGTGGATGAAGAGGAGTTATCCTTTTCCCTTGGAGGAGAGGTATTTTCCTGCTTCCCCATATTTCTTGTGGTCCTGCAGTGATTTCTAGTCATCTGGTGGATGGTTGGTTTCTTCCCAAACTTGGAAGTTCAATCACACGAGTTTTGTATGCTGGAGGCTGAATTATCAGTGGG